GCATCATAATGTTAACATACAACTTAGTATAGCGTAAAATTATTATTAACAGCTCTTCTCACACTTAACATAATGTTAACTCGACCTTTTGAATGCCAGAAATTTGCTGGCCCTTTCGAGCTAATATGACATATTTAATATTAACTAGCTGTACGACCTACATATATGAGGAAATTTGTCAAAAATGTCTACTTAATAGTGCTCAGGCCCTGAGTCCGAATCTCGTAAACCCTTCGCACACCATTAAACTAAATACTCACATGATCTCAAGCAGATGGTCGCGTTTATGTTTGGCTTACGCATAATTAAATCTGACTAACCCAAAGAGCTCAACCGAAACATAAATATAACAAGTAGTCATAATGTTACAGCTGTGTATGCTCGACTACCAGATGCCCTGCATTTGCATACTAAATTTACTCAGCAAAACTGGCCTTGAATGTCCTTCAAACAGCCATGAGAGCCAAGCTGAACTAACTATTGTCAAAAGACTAGCAAAAATTCCTTCATATGCCCCCATCGTTTGTTACAGGGCATTTATAAATTGGGTACCACAAAAGCGCATGCCAATAGTGTTTGAAATTTGAATGTGGGAGAGGCAAAAATGAAATCAAAAAGTGAAACAAAGCTGAAAACAACGATGCAAACTGACCAAAACAAATCAGAGCTGGGCAATGGGGAGTAGCTGACGGAACGATACTCGTGCCAGCTGTGCACACAGAATAATCCACTCACCAAAAACCAATATGCTCGCCTTGCCACTGCGAACGAGCATAGAAAAGAAATGACTACAAAAATATGCTGACGACCTTTTCACGACGAGAGAAATTTTCATAAATTATTTGAAAAATGTTTGAAATGATTTACGCTCATTAATCTTGTCTGTCGGTGTGTGTGTGTGTGTGTGTGTGTACGTGTATGTTTGACCGTGTGTGTGCCGTGTGGTTTGCTTAGCGTCCTTTTTAAGGGGGCATTTCTGACAGCTTTAGTTTTTGGCAATTCAATTAGGCCAAAATGAAAGCATGTTGAAAAATTGTTTTGTTGCATTAACCCATTGTTGGCCCCCAAAAGCCAGCCACACGGACAGCAGCAACAGCCACCGACTGCCGTCTGATGTGTGTCTAAGGCAATGTTTTACGCTTGTTGTCGCACTTATCTGAATTGGGGTATCTCGATTCAACTATGAACTTTGGGTTCCTCAACTATGGAAAGTACAGCTCTTTATTATTTAACTATCCATATGAACCGAGCTGCTCCTTGAGTTTGGGGAAGTTAACCCTTGCACTCTAATCTCTGTATATATATTTTTTACCATATAACTTTTCTGATATAACGAGCTATAACATTTCTATTTGATATCACATAGCTATCTACAGGAACTCAGCTGCTCTTGGAGAATTGTGCTTGAAATTTGTTGCAAGCCTTCCTTATACATTTAGTATGCACGATTGTTAAAGCCAATCAAATCAGCTCATTAAAAATCATATATACACCTATAAGACCTCAGCTCACTGAGAATGTAGCTCACCGATATTTAGTAGAATCGCTGCTTATACAATGATATTAAACATATATCGAATTTAATGAGATTGGTGTGATATATAAAATGATATCATATAGCTGCCTCAACATATAGAGAGTATTTAACATGCCGTGCATTGATTTGATTTGAACTTTTGCTTTGTTTATGTTTGTTGACGGCTCGTCGCCGTCTAACGAGCTGCACAAATGCCGGGCAATTAATCATTTGTTTCATTGCTCTTTGCTCTTTACTCTTTTATTTTTATTTTTGTTGAGTGTTTTTGTTTTTCTCCCCTTTTGTTGTACTTTTCGCCTTTTGCAGTTCTTTTGTTTCTTGGCGTCTCATTTCACAACTCATTTCCGGCTGGCGCCGGAAACGCATCTTCGACATTAGGTCAGATCGGCGTCCGGGCATCGCTCGTGATTTATGGCATTCAAATTGACGCAAATGCCGCAACCACCAAAACACACACACACACACACACACGCACACACACAGAGAGAAAGGTGACAACTTTGTTTGTGGCCAAACACATGTGGAGCGATGATGTGCGAGTGTGTGTGTGTGTGTGTGCCTATGGTTCGAGCAGAGTCGTGCAAAAACTAATTCAATTTGCATATTTGGCTTTTGGGTTCTAAACTCAATCAAAACAAGCGATTTTCAATCGCAGCGGTCATCACATGCCTTTGCAGCCACACCCCCGCTCCCCTCGCCGGCATACCATCACTATGAATTCCTCTTGTTCTACCTGTCTGCAACCCTTTGCCACCATCCAAATGAGCCACAATTTCGGTTCATTTCCAACGGGCAGACATAGTCAAGTGTGTGCTTCGGGCGAGTCAAATATGTTTTGCAAAATTCAGTTGACTAATAACGAAATGATTTGCATTTGAAAAGATTTGGAATCTGACATTTCAGCTAACTTCTGCTTTTGTTTATCGAAATGGATTTGGCAAGGACAGAAATGCATAGATGAGATTCATTTTTGTAATTCGTTGGGAATATTTATGCGAAACCTATGCTGTATATAAGAAAGTGCTCAAGAAGAAAATACACTGGCTTGACTATATGTTGGTTAGATATCGATATTTATCGAGTTTGGGTGAGAAACAGTTTGAAAGAAAGACAGACAGATGCTAGGGCGGACTGGCAGAAGGACACCCAGATAAATAAAAAGACAGAGAGGTAGACCGAAAGAAAGACAGAAAGAGATACAGATTTCCCATTTTGAATAGGTAGGTTAACGGTATCGAAACATAAAACCACAACTATGGCTAGGACAAAAGCTTATCAGCTCTAAGCTTTTAGCTTAAACGGTTATCAAACGAATCTCTTGCATTTCGTTGGCTTTAAATTCCAGAGTCTGAGTTGATAAATATTTTGTGCAAATATTTTTGGGTCAACTGTCAGGTGCTACAGCTTAATCATTTCCATTTCCATATCCATTTTATTCCCTTTTTTTTTAGTAAATAAAAGCTTCCCTTGTCTCGCTGACCATGAGCAGATATACTTGAAATGCTAGCAAATACTGCGCTCTACATAAAATGCATGTCGTAATCGAATTATAATACCATCTAGTCAAGGATATTCAAAAAAAAAATGCGACTGGGTGGCGGCCAAGGCAAGCAGCTGTCTCTGCAACTGTCTCTCTCTCGCTCTCGCTCTCTCTCTCTCTCTCTCTGTCTCTCTCCCTCTCCCTCTCTGCCTTCTTTTCTATGCATGCTGCGGCAGGTGGCAAACAACAACTCGTTGTGGAAATATGTATGCATATGCATTCAGGCGCGCAGTCTGGTATAGATTTTTATATTCGACTTTGTGGCATTTGCTGCATATCTTTGCACGCCCTGTCTCGCTCTGCCACTCGCTGTGCTTCTCTCTTTCTTTGCATTTTTCTCGCGTAGAGATTTTGAAGTGCATTACAAAAAGCGAGCTGGAAATATGCAGCCAAAGTTTGAATTCTTCTGGCGCGCTTATTGCATACAAAAAGCAGCCAACGCAGAGGCCGTCTCGAACGTGCCTCGCATCGCCAAGCCAACAATCCGGGTCCTGCGCTCTGGCTCTCCGGGTGTCGAAACGTATCCAGCAATTTAATATTTGCGCCGAAAAAGGCGAAACTACAAATGACACCTGTGGGAGTGGCCCACTCCCACACTCACACACACACACACACACACGCACACCCACGCCCACACTCATACCCACACCCAGGGCCATGCCCAAGCCCCCTCTTAAACAAACCAAATGCTGAAAAGGGGCTTTCGCATAGCCAAGTCTCATTTGGTCTATTTGTTGCATTTATTCAATTTGCAACGAGCCTCCCGCTGCATGTGTGTGTAGAGTTTGTTTGTCGAGTTGTTGTTGAAATTTATAGTCGGACGAGTTTTTAAAGTGTTGCGCCGAGCGTATGGCGCGAGTGCAGAGAGTTATTTCGATTTAAATTGACTTTTTGATAGTTGCGAGAAAGATATGGCCTATTGTGGAGAGTTATGGACTAAGATGGAGAGTTGCGGAGAGTTGTGGAGAGTTGTGGAGAGTTGTGGAGAGTTGTGGAGAGTTGCGGAGAGTTGTGGAGAGTTGAGGATATATGTGAAAAGTACCACTGTAGGAGATATCTCAGAGTTGTTAACTGTGGAGAGTTGCGTAGAGTTGCGTAGAGTTGCGGAGAGTTGTGGAGAGTTGAGGATATATGTGAAAAGTACCATTGTAGGAGATATCTCAGAGCTGTTAACTGTGGAGAGTTGGGATGAGTTGTGGAGAGTTGTTTGGGAACCTGCGAACTGGAGAACTGTGGAGACCTAAGGCGACTTATCATGGGAGGGCAGTGGAGACTTATTTAGGCTTAAGTATAAGCAAGACAGCATTCTAATTGGTATAATCATCCACTGCAATCGAAGACTAAGGCCAGGTGTAGACATTTCTGTATAGTATATGATATTATCTAAGACTTCTACTTGCTTCCGTGGAATGTTTTCCTTTGCAATTATTCAATGTATATATTGGTATAAACTGAATTCAATTTATGTGAAGAGTTTATTTGGTTTACGAGTCGAACGTATTGCTCTATGATATATGGAAATCAAATATGCTGCGAAATGCTGTACGATACAGCGAAAAGCACCAAAAGGAAAAAAAAAAAACTACAACAAAATATTATATATAAAGTGCAAGCAAAATTTTATGGAGTTCTATTTGCAGCAAAAAGCCACACAAAAAAAAAAAAAAAAAAGTAAAATAAAATAAAATAAGAAATTGGAATGGAATACCAAATGAAATATGTGTTTATTTATGGTTAATTTAGTACGAAATAGATTTAGGTACTTCGGAAAATCTGGTTTTACGCGAAAACGAAAGTATTTCACATTCGCCAAGCAATTAGTTTGGAATATGAATCAATGAAAGATGAATTAAGGACTCTTGGGAACTGAGCCATAATCCTTAATAGAATCGATGTATTGCGATTTAAGAGTATGGCACATACCTTTTCACTATGAGCAGAGCAAGCTTAAAATCAAATGCCAGACCGTGGATCGGATCCAACAAACTTGAATGGGGAAATATTAAAAGAGAAAATAATTTCTATATTAGAAAATTATAAATAAATTTTGTGTGTCGTCAATAAATGAAAATGTGACTCCAGCCCAGGTCCAGGTCCTATGATTCCCATAGGCTACTTGGATGCGATCTATTTTAACAATGGTGGAGCTCAAGTCAAAAGCAACAATGGCCCACAGTTGGATTATCGTTGGGATAGGACTCTTATCTCGCAGCTATTGAATATTTGGCTAACAATTTAAAACTCAACAAGGTGACAGCTTCGAGCACAGCCCGAGGACTATTTCCTGCTTTGAGCTTGGCCACTTCGAAGAGCACAAGCATATCTGAAAGGCAGATATCTGAAGCCAAGGACAAAGTCGATAGCATTATCTTGTCTGCACTCGAGCTCGATTCGATTCGACATGATTCGGACTTGGACTTGGACTTGGCTATGGGAATGAATGAATGCAAAGCACAAAGCACAAATCACAGATTACAATTTCGCTTGGATGCCGCACACATGCACACACACACACAAATATATACACAAAGAGTGTACCGAATCGAGAGAGGGAGGAGAGAGAGAGAGAGAGAGAGAGAGAGAGAGAGAAAAAGGCGTAACTATAGGGAAAGGGGGGAGGCGCGCCACTGAGGCAGGTGGATGGTTGCAGGGCAGTGGCATAACTCACTGGAATACATGAATAGTTGCATATGAAAAATCACCGAGCAGAAAACTCTATCTGTGTGCATACATATATGCAAGCGAATGACCACTGTCCAAGCAGCGAGCTACACTGGGAGACAGCGGAGGAGGCGGGAGCTGGGCATGGATAGGCGAGGTGGCGGTAGATAATGCCAAATACCTAATGTGAAAGCTTCAGATTTGACGATTTACGAGGTGAGCTTGAGAATTTAAAATGATATATTGATTTGTTATCGATTTTTATCGATATCGATATAGTTATAGTTTTAAGTTTCGTCATAAAGCTTTTCCTTTAGCTTTTCTAAAAAATAAAATAGCTACTAAATGATCTTATATTTAAAATAAATATATATATTAATATATTTATAGTAATATAGTATAGTATATGCAACAATTTTGTTGTAATTTTTATCAAAATTGTGTTCAGTGTATTTTATATATGTATATATCTATAGAGGAAAGTCTAACTGAATGTGTGTATATATTGGAGTTGGCAATGGCGTTGACCACAAAAGCATAAATGCACTTGTAAATCTCTATAAGTGTGTGTGTGCGAGAGAGAGTGTATGTGTGTGTGTGTGCGCATAAATGCCAAGTGCTGCTGCCACGCCCCCTTTGGCCGCCCATTGTTGCCGGTGTAAAGTGTGTGCACTGATAAGCAGGCAACACCCGAAAAAAATGTGTGTGTGTGTGTGTGTGTGTATGGATGGGTGTGTGTGGAAATCGGGGTAGGAATTGGGCTAGCAACAGAGATAAGGTAGCAGCCGCTGAAGAAGAGACTCACAGAGTGAGGGAGTGGGTGAGGAGAGAGAGAGAGAGGGGGAGGGAGAGGGCCAGAGGGAGAGCCTGGAGGTTAGGCGAGAGGCTTCGACATAAATAGAATGCTAAACAGCACGCGCAAATGTGTCCTGCAGGAGCTGTTTTTAGAGCGGGCTGGGGTGTTTCTGGGCAATTGCAATATGTGGGCGTGGCAGTGTGGCAGCGTGGTTTTGCATGTGCATTGCCAACTCTGACTTTGGCATTGGCCACGTCTGCGTTTCGCTTTCACATGTGGCACCAGCGCAGCGGACGGAGGCGTGAGACGGCCACGAGGCGTGGCGCGGGTGAGCGATGCGACGGGGCGGGGTGAGGGAGCGTCCAGCGTTGGCGACTCGGCGTGTCGGACAATGGCGCATAAATCATGCATAAAACTGAAAATGGAATATGAAAGCAACATGGCGTGCCTCTGTGTGTTGGTGTGCGGATGGGTGGGTGGGTGTGTGTGTGTGTGTCTGTTGGTGTGGGTATTAGCGTGTGAGTGTGTGTGTGTGTGTGTGTGCGGCTAGTGAGTGGAACGCAGCGTAACACGCAACAAAGGAAACAAGTCTCGTTTGTATTGAAAATTTTGATTGCAAGTTGCGTTACGGATAAGACTCTAATATGTCTATATGTGTGCGTGTGTGTGCCACTTGCCCCACAGGTATCGTTAAGCATTGCAAAGTGCATATCCATTCAAATATTTGGCAATCCATTCAGTGATCGGATGAGTTTTTAATAAAGTTTCACGCGTTGCAATTCGCCAACAGTTTAACCAAAGTGCCTAATGGACTGAAGCGAAGGCAGAGCAATAGTTGAGCAGCTCCTCGAAAAAGCCAAACTGAAAGCTCTAGCTGAAGAGGAGACTGCTGAGAGGTTTGGTTACTTTTCACGTTAGATACCCTCAAGCAAACTGCAACTTACAAGGATTAAGAGGATGGCATAAGTTTCTAAAAGCTGTAGGCAATATAAAAGCGCAAAGCTCTACTTGAACAAGTCTACTTTAAAGCTGTTAGTCGAAGCTCAAGTTTAGCTCGCAGCCTAGCTTTTATTATCAAGAAGCAGCTTAAAATAAATGTAGTACATTGAAGTCAAGCTTTAAGCTTTTTTGTAGACAACCAAAAATCGTATCGTCACCTTAAAGAATGTTTGTTAGATTAAAGCTTCTACTCTAATGTAGCTAAAGCTATGTTGGTTTTTAAAACACTTTGAAGCGAAAATCTAAAGGAAAAGTTAAGTTAAGTTAATATATCAATAGAGTGATCTTACAGCTTTCAGATGTTAAGAAGCTTTCAGATCATGTGGCAAACCATGTAAGCAGTACTTCAATGCATTCAAATCTGTGTGCTTTCAAATTAGCTCTCATCGGTCAAGCAAACTCCACTTTAGATACTCTGCAACGCAAAAGCTCATTAAAGCTTTAACTCTCAGCTTACTCAGCTCTGCTTACTCCAGTTCTATCAGCACTATTGGATCTCATATAATGCGCAAAGCGGACCTAATCGTTTACCTCATAAAGCTCTTAATCAACTGTCACTTGCAGCTTTTTCGATTAAAAAGCACAAAGTAAACGCTTAACTCAACTTGGAGTCAAAGCGCTTTAATTAACTGATTTGAAGTTGTTTTCCTTTATTCTCTTTTGTGGCTCATTCTTAGCTCAAAGTGCAGCGCCAGTCGTCTGACCCCGGCGAGTGGGTAGCAATCAGAAAATGCTTTAGGGCAATGCGGTCGCATTATTTGGCTGCGGCTCACCAATTCAGTTCAGTTTGCTGAACTGGTTCAGCTGAGCTGAGCTGGCTCGACTGCTCACCTGGTGGCCGGGTCGCCAGGTCCCGCGGCGAATTATCGCCAATCACTTGAGCAATAAATGAACCAAAAGTCGTTATGCGACGACAACAAGAACAAGAGCAAGGACGCTGAGACGCGGCACTTTGGAGGACGACTTGACTTCAGCGTCGCGTATTGGTAAAAGCTACACTTCCAGAAAATTGCGTTAGCAAATCAATTCACCTGCATAAATACGAAGCTGCCTAGTATATTTCATCTACAATAGCTAGGAATCCCGAGGGATATGCTCATATAACTAAAGTTCATACTCGTATACACCTGTAATCGTATCGTAGTCTTAAACTCTTATACCCGGATTCTCATATATTCGTTTACTCCTATGCTGTTATGCTCTCATACTATTATACTCCCATAACCTTTTACCCTTATACTCTAATACTCTTGCACTTACATGCTTTTATACTTTTATATCCTTTGAATCTTACACGATTAGACCCTTATACTCTTTTATACCTATACTCTCATGCCCTTATACACTTATACTCTTTTAATCTCATACTCGTATACCTTTACACGCTTATGATCTTATACGCTTATACTTTTATACGCGTATACTCTTATAATTTTGTACTTTTATACTCTTATAAACTTAAACTCCTATATTTGTATACTCGAATGCTCTTATACTAGTATACTCTTATACTCTTATATTCTTATATTCTTATACTCTTATACTCGTATACTCTTATAGTCTAATACTCTTATAGTCTAATACACTCATACTCTTACACTCTTATACTCTAATACTCTTATACTTATACTTGTATACACTTATGCTCTTAAGTTCTTACAACATATACAATTTTGACATGCTGTTTTTTCTTTGCCCAGTGTACGAATACGAGCCACCACGCCCACTCTGTCGCATCGAACGCCTCCGCCTTCACCTGCGAAAAGGTGTCCTTGAGAAAGTAGCAAACAAAAATTCTTCGCAGCGCACTTTTCGGCGTTCGGCGTTTGGCGTTCGGCGCTTGTCGCTCGCCGGTTGCAGCCGCCGCAGCCGCAGCAGGAGCAGGAGCAAAAAAAAAAAAATGCTGGGTCATAAGCTGAGCGCTGCAGGCAAGATGTCTATATAGAAACCACGACAAAAAATGATATATATGTATACATAATATATATCTATATCATTGTATATAATGTATAAAGGGCAGACGTCGAGGCGAACGCATTTATTCATTTAACCTTTTACTGCGAAACGAGCGACGGGATCAAACCAATAAACTTTTGTTGTTTGCTGCTGGCCAGAAAGGCGAAAGGGGCAACGGAGTATTAAGTAGAAAAGAGGGCGTGCCAAAGGCGGGCTGGCATGTGAAGGGCGGCGTGAGAGATGGGGCAATGGGGTGAGTGGGGTCGGTGCGGTAGGTCACACTAAACGATGGCACGTAGCTGCGTCAAGTAAATGGGAAAAGTTCCAGTCAAATTCTGATGAAATGAAATTAGTTTTCGCTTGAGTGTAACTTCCGTTTGTCGAATGACTGGACAGAATAAAAAACACAATTCTCTGTGAGGACCACTGTGAGTGTGTAGCTGTGTGTGTGTGTGCGTGCATGTGTGTGTGTATGAGTGTGTGCAGGTTAATCTACGGGCGAGCATAACACACGCCGCATATGAATGACGGCCAAGTGACATCAATTCGCCTTCAAAATCGTTATCCCAAAAGCTAACTGTCTCCCTCTCTCCCACCCACTCTGTCTCGCTCTCTCTCTCTGGCCGGTTGTGTGGGACAGCAATGAAACCACAAGAAATCGCTTATAAATTACATACTTTTACCACCCGCCAACGTAACAACAGCAACAGCAACAACAACTATTACGACTCATGTTGTTGTTGGCCACACTGTTGGGCGGAAAGTTTCAAGTGCAGCGTCATGGCACAGTGGTACAAAAACACCAAATGGAAAACACAAAAGCAATGAGGTAAGTGAAATGAGTTGTAATTCAAGAGACGCTTTTTTATATGGCTCTCTTTCCATTGCATGAAATGATTGATTGGACTTGAACTGATTGACAAGCTAATAGACTGATTGATTCACTGTGTATTTGACTGCAGACTGGTTGATTGAGTGATTGACGAATTGTTGGATTGTTTGATACGCTGATTTACTGATTGACCGACTAATTGTCATAGATGATTGACAGATTGATATGAGGGATGGATTGATCGACAGAATAACTACTGATTTGTATTATAATGATTGATGACTACCTGATAGCTGATTATTATTAACAGACTGATTAAGGCTGTTGACTGAACGACAGATTGATTGATTAACTGGTAGACTGATTGATTGATTGGCTTACTGATTGAGAGATTGATAACTGTCACTTGGATTGATTGATTGACCAAGACAATGTGATCAGATAACTGGCTGACTACCTGCCTGAGTGCCTGATTGATAAACAACTGACTCAACGGATTTGATATATGTACATACATATATACATATAAAGACTTATAAATCGACTCTCTTATTTCGATTCCAGGCCCACTGTGCGCTATACGCTTTATGAAGTGGACCGCATTGATGACTCGGCATACCACAAACATAAAGACATGTACACACACAGAGAGTGTTACAGAAAAGTTTGAGTATCAATCAACGACAGTCAATCAATCAATCAATCAAATGCACCAAACAATGATGCCAACCAACGAAGTCGATCGCGATGTGGAAATGGGAAGTGGAAGAGATGAAGTTTCCAATGAAATTTTCCACTACTTTCCACTTTGCCAAATGCCACTCAAAATGTTGTTCCTCGTTATTGCTGTTGTTGTTTGTGTTGATGTTAGGATACGCGTTGTTGTTGCTACCTGTGACACCTTTTTATTTTGATGCAGGATTTTCCTGGTAGTTGGGTCTGCTTTCTAATATGGTTGACGCAGCATTTTGTGCTGCTAAAGCAAACGAACATTTTTGATATTTATAACTTTTCTAATTGCCATTCTCCGGAGAGAGAGAGAGAGAGAGAGAAAGAAAGAAGAGACGGAGCCACAGACTATATGATATGAGGCCATTGCCCTGACAACGATTGCGGTTTCATTACCTTCACTACGACTTTAACTGCAGCTGGCACTGCTGCTTCTTGCTCTTCTTCAACGACTGCTTCTTCTTCTCAAGTTCCGGAAAAATGAAAACGATTTTTCCAAGCGAAAGTTGACGTTGCATTCGAAATTATTTACAACTAGCTGCTGCCAGGGCAACCAGAAGAAGCAGAGAAACCAACGACAAAGCAAATTTCAAGCTGAGAAACAGTTGCAATAGACGACCCGCTCACCCAAAATGCCACGCCCAGATGCCCTGTGACGCCCTCTTTCTTAGAATCCCCCCGCGCGCCCCCTTCTTCGCGAGCTCCTTTCCAGTGAAATGCACTTCAATGCTTAAATGACAATCAAGTTGGATTTTTTCTGCAGTTTTTGAGGTTCCACGAAAAATCATTTGGGATGCAACAACAGCAGATTTCAAACGACTAGCGTATACCCTGTACTATATATTTTTAAGAAAAGTTAGGTGGAGTGTGGAATGATATGCGAGTATAGTTAAAGAAATATAACTGGAGAATAGTCTTTAGTCTTTAGTCTTTAGTCGTTAGTCTTTAGTCTTTAGTCTTTAGTCTTTAGTCTTTAGTTTTAGTCTTTAGTCTTTAGTCTTTAGTCTTTAGTCTTTAGTCTTTAGTCTTTAGTCTTTAGTCTTTAGTCTTTAGTCTTTAGTTTTAGTCTTTAGTCTTTAGTCTTTAGTCTTTAGTCTTTAGTCTTTAGTCTTTAGTCTTTAGTCTTTAGTCTTTAGTCTTTAGTCTTTAGTCTTTAGTCTTTAGTCTTTAGTCTTTAGTCTTTAGTCTTTAGTCTTTAGTCTTTAGTCTTTAGTCTTTAGTCTTTAGTCTTTAGTCTTTAGTCTTTAGTCTTTAGTCTTTAGTCTTTAGTCTTTAGTCTTTAGTCTTTAGTCTTTAGTCTTTAGTCTTTAGTCTTTAGTCTTTAGTCTTTAGTCTTTAGTCTTTAGTCTTTAGTCCCATATAGGCTCAGGGCAGTTGCTTACTCCCAGCATTTAGTCAATTTCACGAGATATACCCAAACTTGCTCATAAAAGCGAGCAACTTTTTAGTGCAACGACGAATGCAAAATGCATAACAACAACCGGAATAGGACAAGCGTAAAAAGTAGCTGAAAAAATGTGTAAATGAAAATGGAGAAGAGAAAGAGGTAGGCAGGTAGCAGAAGCAGAAGAAGAAGCAGCAGCGGGAGACGCCAAAGTAAGAGCAAAAGCAAAAGCATAACAACCAAAGCAAATTGGCGCAGACTTGAAAAAATGCTTAACTAGCTGTACAGCTGGAACAGTATACAAATGTACTAATATATATGTATATGTATGTATGTATACGTGTATATAGCTAAATTGTGCAGAGTGCAAAGTTCAGTGCAAATTGAAATAAGTCTCTTGGAATACAGGGTACAAGCCATAGGGCACGCTGCCCTAGCACCGTTGTACAGCCAAGAGGAGGATGCGTGGGGCGAAGGGCAAGGGTCTAAAGAGTAATCAACCATATCTATATATATATACACCCAGCTAACTCAAACTAAACATTGCATATGCTTATCGCTGTATACTGGACTTTACGCCTATCAACATGGACTTGATCGAAGTGGTATAGGAGGAGTCCTTAGTTAACAGTATAATCTTGTATGAACAAACTAAGAACTTTAAAGTATTTCTTCACGATTTACCCATACAAGCTAGTTAGTTTATTAGCTATGTTAAGGTATCCATATATATATATATATATCTATACCTATATATATCTTATATATGCATATATCTTATAGCTGTTTTAGCACTTGTTTGAGCAACATTTTAGGTTTCCTTCAGATAGATCCTTGTCAGGGTATTCAATTGCTCGTCATGATAAATGACATACTTAGTTAGCTTCAGTCTGTCAAGTCAAGTCAAGTCAGGCAGCTAAATAAGTATACCCAATAGACCAAGCGGGGCTACGGGCTGGTTGGGTGAGTGTCCAGCTACCCGATTTTAATCGTGACACCTGCCCAACTGCCCAGCTGTCCAGCCGGTCGACTGGTCGCTGAGCCAGTGACACGCGACGCCGGGCAGCATAATTAAAAGTTAAGTACCTGACCGGGAGAGAGACACATATACGGCAAGCATGTGTATGCGAGTGAGAGAGAGAGAGAGAGAGAGAGAGAGAGAGAGAGCTGTGCTAAAGCGATTCTCCCTAGACGCAGCTCAGCTCACAGACAAAGCCAAAGGCGGACTGGAGTGTGAGTAGCCCGTGCTAAAATGGTAACAGCTCGTCTACGTTGAAATAACATGCTGCACTTTTTAATGGGCAACTGCAATAGGGCGGGAACAATGGGGGCGATGGGGGTCTAGGGGTTGCTCAGCGGGAGAGCTATGCTAGCCGAGCTAAAATGCTTGCCTGTTAAATTTTTCACAAAAGAACTTAACGCAAATACGCTTTAATGAGTTGTCATTGGCGCACGTTGCCGTAGCGCAAATACCCTACAGACGGTGCTGGGGTATGCTCGACGGCTTAAGAGTGGAATGTGCGAAAAAGATAAGGAATGGAATATTTCAACAAGCCTCAAATATTCCATTCAACGAATCAGTGCGAATTTCTGAGTAATCAAATGGAATCTAAGAGAGGCTCAAGGGGAAATGAAGCGCTTGGGAATTGCTTAGGAGGCAAATCAGAAGAAAAGTATGCTACATTCTGAAAATATCTAATAAAACTTGGAAAATTCCCACAGAAGCTGCACTTGAGGGTATTTCGAGTTCACCAAGAATATGCTGAGCCACGTTGAAGTGGAGCATAATTTAATCTTAAGACTCTGAGACAATTTTTTAAGTGCGTCAAGTGTCGTCGCAGATTGTCGATTGCCGTGTCTATAAACATGCCCATATATGTATGTATAGGTGTATAGATGTATATAAGGTGTTCTATCTATGTGTCTTTGGGGGGATAGCAGGCTGACAGCGCTGTCAAAGTCCTTGAATGAGTTTGTTGAGGTCGTAACTGCATTAAATGCTAAACTACTTATGAGTGTCGGATGGAAAAGGCATGGCGGAGACTGCGGCGAAGGCGGAGATAGACGTTGATGTGGAGTGAAGTACATTAACGTGGAACTTCTGCAACTTGTTGCTGCTTATTAAGTCTCTCACTGGCAAGACCCGCATTTAACTAGTTGAGTGGTGCGAAGAGTCGCACTCAATGCAATTCCGTTTCGTCTATAATCAAATAATGAGGCGTACTGTAAGGGGTGCGAGGATTTTATAGGAAGTAAAAGGCAGGAAGGAGCTTCAGGACGGAAGGCGGAAGATGGTGCTAAGTGAAAAGCAAGTTATACAAATTAGTCTAGATTTGCTTGATAACTATTATTGAATGTGCCTTAACGTGTTTGGCTGCGATTATTGGCAATTGGCGTAATATTTTTGCGGCTGCTCATCAATCGATGTTTTGTGCTATCGATGTTTTCAGTGTTGGTAAATCCTAAAATGTAAATCGCTTCATTCATGCCCAACTTTTGGCATTTGTCATCTAATCGACTAACTAAAAATTTGTCAGCGAAAACTAAATCTTGAATAACGAATGCTAGCTTACTATATCGGTTTAACTTTCGTATTTCTCGGCTCTCCGTTTTTGTTCAGTTCTGTTAATAAAGTTCAGTTTTCAACTTGAGACATAAAAAAACACACACACACACACACATTTTCAGGTTGAGGGATCTGTGAGTTTTCTGGCCTCCGCTGACTGAGTAGCCCTTTGCCGAGCTGAGCTGAGCTGAGCTGAGCTGTGCTGTGCTGTGCTGTGCTGGATCATAACTGAGCATTCTGTGAATGTGTTCACTTCTCAATATATATTTCTATATATTTTTTAGTGCTATATTTTAGCAGTGGAGAAAAACAAATCGTAAAGTGCATCCGTGGCCGCGAGTGTATCAATCCATTTGAATGGGAGATGGCCTTCGTGGCTACCAATGATCAGCATGGCAATGAGGTAATGCGCGTAGTGCTCTCGACGGAGCCGGGCAACAAAACTGTGGCTTCCTGTCAGAATGTCAGGATCAACTGCAGTTCCGTCGGAGTCCGGTCGTATACACAGTAAGTTATCTGAACCTTCTGGATGTAGATGTGTGCTTCAAAATAGTTGTCCTACTGCAGTGCAGGGCGTTTCGATCATCGACATCGCTTTCATTACTTTGCGGACACGGCGCCCCGTCTACGGAAGACGGACCTTTTTCTGCTGCACGGGCAGAAAGGCTACAAAGACGGAAAGAATGAGCAGGCATTGGGGAAGCAACAGCAGGAGATAAATAAACACCAGAAGCTAGAGAGGGGGGAACATTCAAAGAACAAAAAGAAGCATGGGGAGGCAGATGAGGCATTGCTGCTGGATATGCCTGGATACTTCAATATGACCATGGGTCGGAAGGAGCAGAAGGAGAAGGCACAGCAGGTGACGTTGAAGCCGAAACTGAAAGAGAAGGCGGTGCAGACGGAACTGAAAGACAAGGCAGTACAGAATACGTTGGATAAGAAAGAGATGTCCGACCGGAAGACTTTGCAGCTAGAGCAGAAAGAGAATGCAGAACTGAACAATGTGGATAAGAAAGAGAAATCAGAGCAAAAAACATTGCAGGTAGGGCATAAAGAGAAGACAGAACATAAGAGCTTACAGGTAGAGCAGAAAGAGAAGGCCGAACAAAAGACGTTGCAGGTAGAACAGAAAGAGAAGTCTGAACGTAAGACTTTGCAAGTAGAGCAGAAGGAAAAGTCTGATCTTAAGACTTTGCAAGCGGATAAGAAAGAGAATGCAGAACAGAAGTCGTTGCTGATGGATAAGCATGTGAAGGCAGAACTGAAGACGTTGCAAGTAGATCAGACAGTGAAGCCTGAACGGAGGACACTGCAGTTAGATCAGAAACAGAAGTCAGACCGGCACGCGTTGCAGTTAGAGCAGATAGATAAATCAGAACAAAAGACTTTGCAGATAGAGCAGAATGAAAAGTCTGAACGCAAGACACTCCAGGTGTATAAAAAAGAGAAGGCCGAACTGAATATTTTAGAGGTAGAGCAGAAAGATAAGCTAAGAAAGACGCTGAAGGTAGAGCACAAAAATAATGCAGAACTGAAGACGCTGCTGGTGGAGGATAAGATTGATAAGACAGAACATAAGAATTTGCCGGTAGAGCTGAAAGAGCAGTCAGAGCAAAGGACTCTACAGGTAGTGAAGAAAGAGAAGACAGACCGGAAGTATTTTCAGGTAGAGCAGACAGAGAAGTCAGAACAGAAGACATTACAAGTAGATCAGACAGAAAAGGCAGAACAGAAGATACTGCAGGTAGAAAGAACATACCGGAAGAATTTACCGGTAGAACAGAAAGAGAAGTCAGCGCTTAAGGCGCTACAAGTAGAGCACAAAGAAAAGTCTGAACGCAAGACGTTGCTGGTGGATATGAAAGAGAAGGCAGAACAGCAAAAGGTAGAGCAGAAAGAGAAGGTAGAGCGAAAGACGCTGCAGATAGATCCGAAAGAGAAAGTATACCGGAAAACGTTGCCGGTGGATAAGAAAGAGATGCCAAATCCGCATGCGTTGCAGCTAGAGCAGAAAGATAAAGCAGAACATAAAATTTTGCTGATAGAGCAGAATGAAAAGTCTGAACGCAAGACACTCCAGGTGGATAAAAAAGAGAAGGCAGAACACAATAATTTTGACGTAGAGAAGAAAGATAAGCTAAGAAAGACGCTGAAGGTAGAGCACAAGGAGAATGCAGAACTGAAGACACTGCTGGTGGAAGATAAGATTGATAAGACAGAACATAAGAGTTTGCCGGTAGAGCTCAAAGACAAGTCAGAGCAAAAGATTCTACAGGTAGAGAAGACAGCCCGGAAGTCTTTTCAGGTAGAGCAGAAAGAGAAGTCTGAACTTAGGACGTTGCTGGTGGATAAGAAAGAGAAAGCAGAAGAGCAGGAAGTAGAACAGAAAGAGAAGCACGAGCGGAAGACTCTACAGGTAGCGAAGAAAGAGAAGACAGGCCGGAACTCTTCTCAGGTAGAGCAGAAAGAGAAGTCAGAGCAGAACACATTACATGTAGATCCGACAGAAAAGTCAGAGTGGAAGATACTGCAGGTAGAGAAGGCACACCGGAAGAATTTACCGGTAGAGCAGAAAGAGAAGTCTGAGCATAAGGCGCTACAGGTACTGCAGAAAGAGAAGTTTGAGCGGAAGACGTTGCTGGTGGATAAGAAAGAGAAGGCAGAAGAGCAGGAAGTCAAGCAAAAAGAGAAGCCAGAACAGAAGGCGTTGCAGGTAGAGCACAAAGAGAAGCCAGAAGGGAAGACTCTGCAGATAGAGAAGGCAGACCGGAAGAATGTGCCGGTAGAGCAGACAGAAAAGTCAGAGCTGAAGACATTGCTTGGGGATATGAAAGATAAGTTAGAACAAAAGACATTGCAGGTAGAGCAGAAAGAGAAATCTGAGCGGAAAACTTTGCTGGTGGATAAGAAAGAGAAGGCAGAACAGAAGAAGGTAGAGCAGAAAGAGAAGCCAGAACAGAAGACGTTGCAGGTAGAGCAGAAAGAAAAGTCTGAACGGAAGACATTGCTGGGAGATAAGAAAGAGAAGCCAGAGCAGAAGACGTTGCAGGTAGAGCAGAAAGTGAAGTCTAATGAGATGATATTGCAGGTGAAACAGAAAGTGAAGTCTGGGCAGCAGACAAAGCATCGATATTACAGTCAGTACTTGGAATGGTCGTACGAAGCGATTTCGGAGTCAGAGAAAGAGTCACAGCTAAAGCAGATCTCGCAGCCGATAAAATCGCAATCAGAGAGATCGAAGTATGAGATGAAACCTCAGCTAATAAATTGTCAGACGGAGAGACTAAAGCCAGAGAGCCTACATCTGGAATTCTTAAAAGAGGAGAAAATTCAGGTGATGCGACTAAAGGCAGAGAAGTCACAGCCAGAGATGTGTCTTCAAGGAGACTTACAGCCAAAGCGTGAGAAGCGAACCCAAGCGAAGCAGAAGGTGCAGCTGCAAATGACCCCGAAGCTGGCGTTGTTGCACTCGGACACACCGCGTGTGCTACGGACTAGGTCACATACAGAGCCGAATTTACAGACAGCCAACGGATCACAGCGAAAGGCCAAGTCTCAAAATAATTTACCACAGGATCCGGATCAGAATCAGGAGAAGAAGTCGTCTCGGACTTCATCCCATCACAGCCATGGAAGTCTAACTGTCTCTGAATCGGGACTGTGGAACAGCGCTGAGGTCATAGCGCACAGCACGCTGCTCTCCATGCAGGAGCAGATGGCCAAGCGGGACAGCAACAACTCATCGCCCTTGTCATCGCCCTTCTACGCCTGGCTGGCTGCCAAAAAGTAAGCTAGACATACGTCACTGATTGCTTGGGTTTATTAATTGTTTCTATCTCTTGTTGCTTTACGCCGCCTTCGCAGGGAGAAGCAGGATCAGCTGAAAAAGGAGCGCCGTCTCTCAACAGAGTTGGAAGAGCAACGTGCCAAGGAGCGCTCGCGTCTCGCCCAGCTGAACTTTGAACGTTGGGTGAAGAGCAAGAACACTCAACTGCGACGGGCTAAGTCGGATGTGAGCTCCGGTCAGCTGACCACCCATTCGCGTCAGTCGCTGCCAGCCTCGGAGTCGCAGCGCCGTCTCATCGAATGGGAGCGCGAAAAGCTGGCCGAGCTCAGGGAGCAGCGGCTGAAGCGTGAGGCCTACATAGAACGACAAAATCAACTGGAGACGGCGCGTCGCGAAATGAGCGCCGAGGCCTTTGAGCAATGGGTGCTGGCCTCTCGTAACAAGCCGAAGCCGGTGCCCATGGGCAAGGGCCTAGACTCGCTGCGCGGCACTACCGCGCCCCTCTTCACGAATCCCAACGAATGGAAATCGGTGCATGGGCCCATCGTCAAAAAGCCGCAGAATCCGCCGCCGCAGCCGCGTCCGAAGCGCCAGGGGCCTGACTACGAGCGTCTGGAGCGTCTGGCTCAGCCGCGACGGGCGATCTGCAAGCAGAGCCCCAACGTGCGGCGAGAGCCCTTGAAGCTGGGCGAGACTGGCCCGCTGTCAAAGCTGAGCAACTCACTGGACAGCTGCCTGTTGCGTCCGCATCGCACGTCCATGGTCTGGAGCAAAGACAATGCACAGCGCGTGCGCGAAATGAAGAGGAACGAGTCACTGGGTGGGTATCAGGCCCAGCACGAGCTGCACGACGATCAAGTGGAGCAGCTGCGCAAGCAGCAGGACCAGCAGAACAACAAGACTCTGCCGAAGAAGTTTCAGGACAAGCGCGAGAAGCTGCGCCTCCGGCTCAAGGACTGGCTCGAGGAGGGCAAGGCGCTGCCCCAGCGCAGCCGCAACAACAGCAGCACCGACCTCAACTACGAGCTGAAGCTGGAGAAGCACGCGCTCAAGCAGCAGCAGCGTCGCGCTGTCTTTGCCGAAGAGGCGGCCCAAATGCAACGCCGTCGAGTCGTCTTCAACGAGACGCGCATTCTACGCTCCGATGAGCATCTGCTATCGGCGGCCAACAAATCGAATAATCCGCTGCAACGAGCACGCAGCATCGAGCCCAAACATTTACTCAAGTCGAAGGAACCTCAGAAGGTGAAGCCCTGGCGTTAGATTTAGGTCCAGGTGTGATTAGAGCGTCCCCCCACCACCCTCCCCTCCCCTCACTCACGTCAATCCCCATATCCTTATGATATTCATGTAATCGTCCTGTTTTTTGTAAGTTTTTCAAAATATATATTTTTTATTCAGGCCCCCATTCTGCTTGCGTCACTTGGCATTTACTTTGTGAATTGGGTTTCTAATCAAATTATGGGAAATGAGGCAGAGAATGAGCAATATAATCCTCACTTTCTTTTCAACTAGGTTGGGCTTGTCTTTGGATACAATTTGACTTCAGGGCAACTCCAGGCAGGTAGAGGCTTAGGCCCGTAAGGCTTCCCAGTGGGCTGCTCGCAGGAGTCCCAGCCAGCAGCTGCAATTGGAGAGAATGCCTTCCCATAAACAACTGTAAATGGAGTCCAATGTAGCTAAGCTTGCAGACTGAAAGTGCGTTCATGCAATGCAGCTGAGAACGTTTCAGATGCTGCTCCAATCGCATCGAATGCTCCGATTGAGAACAGCAGCTCGGAATAATTACAGCCAAGTGCAGGCGATTACCTCAAGTTGGCTCCAAGACAAAGGCAGCGACGGCGACAGCGACAGCGACATCGAGAATCGAAATGATGTCAGTGGGCAGGAGGGTGTGGCTGTGGCTGTGGGTGTCGGTGAATGCAAATCGATACAGCTTAGGCTCTATGCAAGCACTTGGCTCATTTGCATTACTACGGCCTCCCAGCTCTGGCTAGCTCGTCTGTTGCAGAGGCCTGGTCGGCCAGTCGACAAAATGGAACGTTGGCGCAACAAAGTGGCCGTGGTTAGCGGCGCCAGCGCTGGCATTGGGGCTGCCTGTGCCCGCGCCTTGGTCGGTGCCGGTCTGCTGGTCGTTGGCCTGGCCCGGCGCCAGGAGCGCATTGAGGAGATGCGAGCAAAGCTGCCGCCAGCCGAGCAGCGGCGCCTGCATGCCCGCCGCTGCGACATAACGCGCGAGTCCGAGGTGCTGGCCGCGTTCGACTGGGCCCAGCGGGAGCTGGGCGGCGTCCATGTGCTGGTCAATAATGCGGGCATCATTGCGACCACCGAGCTCAGCGGGCCGGGCAATACCCAAGCGATACGCGACACCATTGAAACGAATCTAATGGGCAGCGTCTATTGCATCCGCGAGGCATTCCAAGCAATGCGGCGACAGGAGCAGCAGCAGCCAGAGCAGGCGAGGGGTGAGGGCCACGTGATCATTGTGAACAGCGTTGCGGGACAGCAGGTGCCAAATCTGGGACCTCAATTGCCATCGCTAAACATTTATCCGGCGACCAAATTTGCGCTGCGTGCCATGCAGGAGATCTACCGCCAGGAGTTTCAGCGCCATCAAACGCGCGTCCGGGTCTCGGTGAGTGGGGGAAGGGAGCCAGCAGTGCGTAATGCCTAAACACCTGGCTAGTGCCTCAAAGTGCGAGCTATTCGAATGGCTGTTTATCTCTTTAATTGGAAATCGGAAAATTGCGAAATTCGACCTCTGGCGCACTCTATGTGAATATTTGCTGTGCCGTGCGATATCTCATGCCTCTGGCCGTCTGGCATTCGGACTCAGCTGCCTCTCGACTTATTATCAGATGTCTCGATCTTACGCCCAACTTTTTGTCCCATCTTTCATTTGACTAACCATCCACTTTTTCATTCAGTCTATCTTCCCGAACGACCTTTCACCCTACCATTCTATATTCCATCCCATCTTTTCTCCATTGTCCATTACAGCTTCTGGCTGTCGACTTCCCCTGTTTTCCGACCTCACTCTAGAGCTCTAGATAGATATAGATGTAAATATAGATAGACAGATAGATAGATATACGTATGGCTATAGCAAAACATCTTTAAGTTTGGTTGATTTTGGAAATGTTCAATTTGAATTTGCCTTGTCCCTTAGTCCCTTGACTCTCTTGAACACCAATCACTCCCTCTTCTATGTTACTACTTAGTACCTTACTTACTTACTTGATATTTAATTTCAGACCATAAGTCCCGGCATTGTCGACACGGACATCTTGCCCGAGCAGATACAGGGCGTCATCAAGCCACATATGCCGATGCTGCGCTCTGAGGATGTGGCCGACGCCGTACTGTGGACCATCTCCACTCCGGCCAATGTGCAAGTGAGCATATCATATCACATCATATCTGAATATTATCATCGAATACGTTCTCCTTCAACAGGTACAAAACATTACCATCAAGCCACAGGGTGAAAAGTTTTAACTATCATTCGAATATTAAAGAGAGATTTATCGTCTAGCTAACTGAGATTGTGCTGTTCTTTAAGGGGAAGGAAATGTGCCCGGGGCTGTTTTAGGGTTAGGCCTTTCTCCAGCGCTTTGCTCACGCCTTCAATCATCAATCAAACTATCCTGGCTGCGCTGCCAATCATAGGCAACTCATTTGAATGCCTAACTGCTTCAATTCCCCTAGAATAGTCCAGCCCAAACGCTGCTGGCCCAAGAAAAGCTGTGTCCAGCCACAGGCCCCGGGGACTTGAAACTTGATTGAAGCACATTGTACGCTGCCAGGTGCTTTGACCCAGAAGAAGATCAACAATTTCCACATCGATCAGGCCCCAATTGTTCACACACACACACACACACACACACACACACACACAAACAGAACACGAAACAGTAGAGGAAAAGTCCGAAATGGAAGGGAAAAACAAAATCCCGTAAGGAGAGGAGAAATTTGCATTTTCTGTTTTACAAATGACGCAGCTGCTGTGGCTAAGGCTAAGGCTAGGCTAAGGCTCGATGCACGATGCGGAGCGTCGGACAAGCAGCTCATTGGATTGCCAAACAACGAGCCAACACACACACACACACACACACATACACACTCTGGGGGCATAACGAGGGCCAGCCGAGAGGGGTCAATGCACAGAACATTTCGAGCAGCTCCATTTTTGGCTAAAATGTGGGCTCGACCCTTCCTTTTAGCCAGCACTCAAATCAACAGCAGCAGCAGCAGCAGCTGCGATTCCTACGGCCAGCTGTCTCTATCTACTCACACTTTCTATACCTTTCTCTCTCTCTCTATCTCTCTGTCTATATCTCTGTCACACATCGATGCGTTATGTGTGTGTGTGTGTGTGGCCAAGTGCTGGCCATACCTGTTACCTGGCCGAAAACAAAAGAGGAGAAAAAAACTGCTCGAGCAATGTCTCACAATGAAAATGGATTAAAAGGATAAGTGGGCGGCAGAGCGTGTGGGCGTTGTCTTGTGGCTGAACTCCATAGAGCCCAGCCTGCTCCACCTCTACCTCTACCTCACCGCTCGCTCTCACCCCGAGGCCGGCGGACTGCAGCTGCATTGTCTGCGCTGTGGTCCAGCGGCTGCAGCTGCACAGCCTCGGCACAAAGTCAGCAGGTTACATCGAACGCTCAGCCCCAAAGCTCCCTCTCGATTGTTGGCCTAATTGAATTAACCAAAACAAAAACATTAAAAACTTCAATCTTAATTACTGTCACCAAGCCAGACTAGCCCAGCCCAGCCCAGCCCAGCCCAGCCCAGCCCAGTCCAGCCTAGCCTAGCCATATGCAGATTTAAATGCATCTGCAGTGCTTCAGCATTTGCCATTAACTTAATGCAATTTCTGCAGCTTTACCTCTTTATCACACATCCCGGTTGGAGCTTTAAAGCTGCATTCAATAAGCAACTTTGGGGCAAGCAAACTTAGGTAAGTCTCCTAGCTATATGCACAGCTTACCAGTACGTCTTCAAGTAAAGCTCTCGAATATTTTTAAAATATCGTATCGATGATATTTTAAGGTTTGAAAAAATATAAATATGATGCTTGATATGCAACTTTTAAAACATCAATTTATCATTATTTTTCGATTTATTTTTAAAAACTTTTTTCCCACAATAATTGTACATCGCAAAAAATATTCACAAAAAATATTCGCAAAAAATATATCTTGTACAAGCTGTCAGCACGAAAGCTTTTAGTGTAGACGAAAAAACACTTTTAAGCTGAAGAGTAAGAACTATTGAGAATAATAATCAGCATTACATGAAAGGGGAACTTTAAAGGCATATCTAAGCTTTTTCCAGAAAGCTTTTGGATTAAGCGCAAGTAGTAAACGTTTGTTGAAAGCTCCTGGCAAAGTTATCAGACCAAGTTCTTTTTATCTAGGCTAGCTACCTGCTTAATGCCAAGTTTCTATCAGCTTTTAACCGACTACAATGAATAATTAGTCCAACTTTAAGAAGCTTTCACTTGCCCGTTTAAATCAAAAGCTTTTATGGAGGGAATTTGATTTTATTGTCTTTGATTTGTGTGTGGCCTAAAGCTGACTGGCTTGAACTGTCTAGATACGTTAACAAATGGCAGAACGGGAAAAATTAATGACAAGCTTACGGATTCAGCGGAAGCTCTAACGAGGCTGCTTGCGTCAGTATATGATTGGAGAGTGATGACAAAGTTTGGTATTTACCAAAAGCTTTTGCAAAAGCTCCCTTACTGTGAAGTCCGTCGGTTAGCTTGATCGCAAGCAGCTTAAAGCTTTAGGGAAAAGCTCTTTTGGCTCGCTCAGCGCAAGCGCCGCGTTGAGTGCTCCAGCGAGCTGAGGCTCTGCAGACGGCGACGCAGTGAGCGCTGCGCCACAGACAGCGGCACCTGCAGATAGAGCGAGGTGATTGGGTGCGATTGCTTGCGCTGCCGCGGCGCAGTAGCGGCAGCAGCAGCAGCAGCAGCAGCCGACATTCTCAGTCTGTCGCGCCGCGGCTGCTGCTGCGGCTGCAGCTGTTGCTGCTGTCGGAGCTTCTGCATGGCCTGCAGCTGCGGTGGCGCCTTGATTGCCTGTCGCGAGATCCAGCGCTGCCAGGCGAGATGGCTGAGCTGCTCGCGCAGCTTCTCGTTCGCTTCGTCCTCCTGCTGCACCTGCTCCTGCCGCTCGCGCCGCTGCTGCGCCTCCTGCTGCTTGCGCTGCTTCCACTGCTGCAGCGAATGTTGGCTTTGCCGCTGCCTCTGGAGCGTCGCGATCTCCGCTGCCAGCGCCTCATCGAAACGCGACTCCTTCAGCAGCAGCCGCTTCTTCTTCGCGGTCAGCCACTCCGCGTAGCTCTTCTGGGCCATCTGCTGGCGTAGCTGCTTCGCCTGCTGCACCCGCTGCGCCTCGCGTCGGCTCTGGCGGCGACGCATCGACTCTTGGCTCCTGCGGGCGAGAAGGACGGCGGGGTGCGAGAAGATAAAAGAGAAAAAAAGGGCGAGAAAGAGGGGGACAAAGGGAGAGTGAACATGGGGGGGGGGCGTGAAAGGAAAGATAGGAAAGAAAGGAAAGAAAGGAAAGAAAGGAAAGAAAGGAGAGATAGGAAAGAAGGGGAAAGAAGATAAGTGTAAGGGATTTTTGTGTTCACTCACATCTTTCAGGGGGAAGAAAGCGTAAGGAGCGAGAAGATAGAAAAGGGAAACGAGAGAGAGGGATAGAATAAAAAAAAAGATGAGTAAAAGAAAAGTGTTAAAAGAAATGAGAGAGTAAAGTAGAAATAAAGAAAAGAAAAAGAAAAGAAAAGCATAAAAAGGAGAGAGGAGGGAAAAGGATAGAAGAATAAGGACAGGCGAGAAAGCGGAGACCAGAAGGAAAGGGGAATTCGTGAAGAATCTCTCGATTCCCTTTTATCAACTCACCTTTTGCGCAGCAGCCACTGCTCGAAGGTCAGGCGGCGCTGCCCGGGTCGGCTGCGCAGCTGCCACTGCGGCAGCCACGGCGACGACTCCATCAGTTGCTGCTGTTGCTGCTGCAACTGCAGCAGCTGCGCCTCGCGCGCCAGGGCTGCTCTGCTCGTTGTGCTGAAGTCCTGCGAGTCCAGCCTGAAGATGTCGCTGCCGCTGCTCTGCTCTAGCTCCGACCGTGACGTCAGCTGCAGCGGCGGCGGCGGTGGCGTTGCGGCGCGTCGCGGTCGCGTCACTGCCTGCCGCGTCTGTCGCTCCACTGAGCTGGAACGGTTTCCTGCCTCAGTCGGCGGCTCCTGCAGTCGCAGTCGCAGCGTCGGGTAGACCTTCTGCTGGCTAGTCGAACGGAGGAAGAGTTTTTGCTCCTGCTCAAACGGACGGATGGCTCATGCTGATGGCTCACCTTTGGCTGCTGCTGTTGTTGTTCTCGCCTCCTGCTGCGCGGCCGCCAAGTGCTGCCACCGGCTGCTGCTGCTGCTGCTGCTGCTGCTGCTCAGTCGGCCGCAACGTCGGCGCAGCTCCCTCGCTCTCCTCCACGGCCATTGCCAAAGCCCCTAAGCAGATCAATTTAATTTTTAACTATTTTCCGAGTTTGAATTTAAAACCACAAAATTTTTTACAATGTTTTTGTTTTTCCCTTAAACTCGTTTGCCTAGACATATGACAAAGCTGTGACAGTCAAGTAAAGGCAAAGAGTGTGTGACAGAGAGCGAGCGAGCGAGAGAGAGACAGAGAGTGTGTGTGTGTGTGCTGTCTCTGTCAGTGTGAAGCACTTTTCTCTGTTCAGTTATTCCCAAACTACAATGCAATTCTCTTAAAGCAATGAAAGAGATGGAGCAGCTCGAAAGTGGGCGGCGGCTGAGCGCGAGTGGGCGTGGCTGGCTCAACGGGCCAAGGGTCGCAATACTCGAGGGGCAGCCAGGTGAAGGTCGCACATAGCATCCATCAAGTATTTGCCGTTGTCGTTGTCGTTGTCAAACAGCAACAACAGCAACAACAACAACAACAACAAAAGCAACAACAACAACAACAACAACAATAAAAACTTACCTGTTCCATTTTTGTTTTCCTTTCTGTCTTCCTCGCGTTCTCGTTGACTGAGCTGCAAACAATTTGTAACAGGTGTAGCGCAAGAGAGAAAGAGAGGGGTAGAGAGAGAGAGAGAGAATGAGAGAGAGAGGGTCTTGCTTATGGCTGCAACTGCAACAACCACAATAACAACAACAGCAACAACAACAGCAACAGCAATAACAATGCGAAATATTTCATTGCATTCAGTCAAAACGTCACAGCCACGCCCACCGCTGTCGCCCGTTCGCCCACAAATTGAAAGACAGGCGACATTTATTTGTATTATTTTAATTGCTGCTAAGCAGGTCGAAGGCAGGGGGGGGTGAGGCAGCAAAAGCAACGAGCTGTAAAAATAGCGGTAAATGCTGAAGTAACTGTGAAAGCAGCGACGCCGGCAGAGGCAGCGACAGCGGCAGCCACTGCGATGCAGTTTGGTGTGAAGCGAACGATGAGGCGGAGGGGGGAGGAGGTGAAAGGGGGAAGCAGGTGTAGTGTGAGGCCTGCTAATATAAACAAAAGGCGCTAGAGCGAGATAGAGCGAAGACTGAACGAAGCTAGAGCAACTGAGAGTGAGAGTGAGAAGACTTGTGGCTGTGCGACAAGGACAGCGAATTGTTGATTCGAGCAAAGCGAAAGTGAAATGCAGAGAGAGAGAGAGCGAGAGAGAGAGAGAGCGAGAGAGAGAGAGCTTTGCTAGTTTTTGGGGGCCACACTTGACATTTAACTGTTAAATTGTTAAATTGTTAGCTGGCAGCTGACGCCGGCGTCGCAGCCAGCGCCGCCGTCGCCGTCGCCGTCAGCGGCAACTGAATAATAATGACATTTTAATTAAATGAAAGCCCGAAGAGTTGCCAGCCCACGCGACGCGTCGCGCCCGTCCCGCCTCCTCTCGGCTGCTCCTGACAGACGCCGTTCGAGCTGAACTGAAATGCGTTTCAGCAGACACGCCCACCGCCCCTTGCGAGTGCCACGCAACATAATATGCCGCTCAAGCGGCAAAGCTACTAGAAAACCATTGCGAAAGCATTATCAAAGCAGCAAGTGCAGAGAGCTCAAGCAGTGGGACAAGAGGTGAAGAGGTGAACGATTTCAGAGAAACGAATACCGATCATATGGCTCATTCATGCAGGCGAGAAGTGATCATGGATAACACGACGATACTTCGAGCGAGTGAAGAAAACTCTCAGATGATACTCACTATCTCTCTCAGTCTCAGTCTCATTCTCATTCCCATTCTCATTCTCATTCTCATTCTCATTCCCATTCTCAGTCTCAGTCTCAGTCTCAGTCTCAGTCTCAGTCTCAGTCTCTGTCTCAGTCTCAGTCTCAGTCTCAGTCTCAGTCTCAGTCTCAGTCTCAGTCACAGTCTCAGTGTCAGTCTCTATCTCAGTCTCAGTCTCAGTCTCAGTCTCAGTCTCAGTCTCAGTCTCAGTCTCAGTCTCAGTCTCAATTTCAGTCTCTGTCTCTGTCTCTGTCTCTGTCTCTCTCTCTCTGTGTATATGTCTATGTTTATATGTCTATGTTTCCGTCTGCGTCTCTCTTCCTCTCTCTCTCTCTCTCTCTCTCTCTCTCTCTCTCTCTCGCTTACTATCTATAGAAGAGAATTCTTTGATGGTACTTTCTCATTATCGTTCTCTGTTCGAGTCTCTATCTGTCTCTCTCAGTCCCTCTGTCTCCCTAGGTCACATTCACTCTCTCTCTCACCTCTCTTCACCTCTCTCTCACTCTCTCATTGACTTTCTCAGTCTGCTTTGGGAGCTATCTTTATCTCTCTGCCTCTCTCACTATTAGTGTCTCCCGCATTATTGTTCGCTCTTCCTCTCTCACCCTCTCTCTCTCCCCTTCTCTCTCTCTCTCTCTGTCTTCCTTCTCCTGACTGTCCCTCTGTGAAGTATTTGCCTATTGACCCAATTCTCTGTATACACCGCATACTTTGTATATTTTCAATGATACCGGGTATGCACGACTATCAGCTTAAATACAAAAACGCCTCTTCTTCAGCTTAATACAGATTAAATACATTTTCCTATTGGTTTAGCAACTTTCTCTGGGAAATCCGTGCAAGTGTGAACAGAGTGGGGTATGCACGACGATTCATCTCGCTCAACGGTACACAGAGCATGCCCTCCATGGAGAGCAACGCATATCCTCAATATGTCAAATTCCAGTAATGCCAATATGCCCGCTCTGCCCATGCTATGTACAGGGTATGCGACGATATGCGACGCGCATAAATTGCCAAATTGCAGTTGCCAGGTAAACGGCAGAGAAAAAGAAGAAGCAAAACGTCGCTGAGCGAGAGGGCGACAAAAGGCGACGCCCTGTGCCAAGTGACGCCCACTTTCACTGGGTGCACCCTGTGTGGAGCGAGTTGTAATTGAAAAAATTGCGTTGCATACTTGTAGGCATGATTTATAACAACAACAACAACAACAGCAACAACAGGGCTGAACATAATAAAAACTGAGGAGAGAGAGAGAGAGAGTGCAGAAGCAGACAACGGGTGAGTGAGATACAGAGAGAGAGAGAGAGAGGCAGCAGAATAAAAAGTGTCACGCCAATTGCTGAGACAAACAATTTTGTTTATTGTTGTTGTTGTTGTTGCTGTCGTTGTTGTTGCTGCGTCAGCAACTTTTCGGTTGTTGCTGCTGCTGCTGCTGCGGGTATTGGCAAATGCGTCGAAAGACAATAAACGTAACCACATGCATAAAAAGAAGGCGAAGCGGGGAAAAAATCAAACGAATGTGCAAAGATGCGACTACTGAACGACTGCCAGATACCCTGTAAAGCAAGATGGAAGAAGAACATCGTAGATTACAGAGGCAGAAGGAGAGGGTGAGGGAGAGGGTGAGAGAGAGAGGGAGAGAGAGAGATATAACATGAGAGAGGGAGAATATAGATAGCTTTGTACATATACATACATATATCTCTCGATTTCGGCGCTTTAAGTCAGCTAAATCAAGAAAAGAATTTTATCCAGAAATTTGCATAGCTGATGGGAGTCTACGTTCCAAATTTTATCTGTTTAGCTGCTAAAGCTTTCGAGAGGAAAGCATTTTCAGAATTGTATGTGAAAAAAAAATATAATATATATAAATATATATAATACACATATAAAAAATATAAATTTGAAAGCTACGACAGCGCTTAAGTTATGCTAAAGAAAATATTTAGATATAGTCACTAGAGAAATAATAGAGAGAGAGAGGGAAAGAGAGGGATATAGAGCAGGTGATCGTTGGCTGAGCTTTTATTTCTTCATGCCATCATTCGAGATTCCATTGACCTGAAGAGGAGGAAGTTCCTCTTCATTCGACCCTTTTCCTGTTTCTTCATCCTCTTCTTCAACTGCAGGCTATTCTTCTGTTTCTTCTCCAATTGTTCTTCTTCTTTAAGTTCTACGTCTTTATAATCTCTCTCTTCGCATTCTTCATCTACTCTAATTTTTCGTATTCCTTTTTCTAGTTTTTCTTCTTCATCTTCTCCTCTCCGCCTACTTCCCTTTCTTCGTTTTCGTCTTCATCTTCATCATCTAGTTCTTCTCCCGTTTGTTCGTTCATCTGCTTTCTGTTCATCACATTCTTCCTCCCTTTCATTTTCCTCTTCATTCCTTTCTTCTGCTTCTCCTTCATTTTCTCTCACTTCTTTCTCACCATCTTTGCTCTGACCCTTTAAACCCCTCCCCACGCCTATGCGTTACGTACCCTTCCTCATCAACCGATATACCCGCTTTCATCCCAGTGCCATTGCAGCGCAACTATAAAAATCAAGCAAAAGGTAAAGCCAAAGAGGAACGCAAATGGGAAATGCTGAACGCAACAAACAGCGAAATTCTCATTCAACCAGCCACAACAACAACAACAATCAGATCCTGAAGAAGAAGCAGCAGCAGCAGTTGAACAATTGTTAAAACAGATTTCAATACAAACCTGAGATTCTAACTTTATTTTCAGAGTTGGCGCTTTAAAAACGATTTTGGTCCTGTTGCCCCTAGGCGAATGGCGAATGACGAATGGCGAATGACGGATGAAGGGTCGCGCACAGGCTGGAAGCTTGGAAGGCTGAAAGTCTTTGAATATGCAAAATAATTGCTACCGATAGTTGAAGAACTATTGGAAACTAAGTGAAAAGGTCCTCAAGTTGAGGTGAGAGAAAGAGAGAAATAGAGAGAGATAGAAGGATAGTGGGGCAGAGAGAAAGAGAGTGAGAGAGAGAGAGAGAGAGAGAGAGAGAGAGAGAGAGAGAGAGAGAGAGAGAGAGAGAGTGATAGAGAAATATACTGTATTTGTAATCTGCTAAGGCAATAGATAACAACTAAATCATAGATTGATTGATATATCGAAATATCGATAGATATAGAGCTAGCCATGTCTCCACGTACCAGCACTAAGAATACCAGTCCAGTCTATCTGTCGTAGCAATATGTTACTGATAGCTATATGGAGAGACGCATCGATATATATGGATAATATAAAGATCGTTCGATAGCCAGACATATAAGTATAAAGATGCATCGATAAACAACACGGACTTAGATGCTTCGATGGTTAGAGATCTTTATATTACAAGATACCAAAGCTAAAAACATCAATTGCAAGACAGCAATATAGAAAT